TGGGCAATCTACTTCTGTAGTGATACTGCTTCAGAAACCCAAGATGGGGTCACTGTGAGTTGGATCGACTCAAGGGCAGCACATTTGGTGTGGTTTTTTTTGGAACATTGTATATAGTAGACATTACTAATGATACAAAAAAAAAAAAATCAAACTCACTGCTGTCAGGTCCAATCTGACTCATAGCGACCCCTCCTTGGGTTTCCGAGGCAATATCACTACGGAAGTAGATTGCCCCAATCTTCCTTCCGAGGAGTTGCTGGTGGGTTTGAAACACCAGCCTTCTGGTTAGCAGTCAAATGCCTTAGGCACTACACCACCAGAGCTCCTTTACTAATGATAAGATGTACAAAAAAAGAAAAGAATACAGGATGGCCATAACTCAAAAACGTAGTAAGTTGGGGTCTACCTGTTGAATTCAGTGACATTGATTACATTCTTTGAATTGTGCAGCCATTCTCACCTTCCTTTTCTGCATTGCTCTTCCCCCATTAAGGGAAACTGACTGCCTCTGAAGGTTTCTATCTAATCTTTGGAGTTGCTGTTGTCCCTTTTATGCCATATAATAGTTAAAAGCATAACGTTCAAGGCAGACAATTTTTACTGTTGTTGTTCATAGGTGCTGTCAAGTTGGTTCTACTCATAGCAACACTGTGTACAACAGAATGAAACACTGCCCAGTCCTATTCCATCCTCATAATTGCTGCCGTGGTTGCGCCCATCGTTGTAGCCATTGTGTCCATCGCATTTATTTTTGACCTTCTACTTTACTAAGCATGATATCCTTCTCCAGGAATTGGTCCCTTCTCACAATATAACCAAAGTGTGAGAGACTGTATTGGCCATTCTTGCTTCTAAGGAGCATTCTGGCTGTACTTCCTCCAAGACAGATTTGTTCATTCTTTAGGAGTCCATGGTACATTCAATATTCTTTGCCGGCAGCACAATTGAAATGCATCAGTTCTTCTGCAGCCTCCCTTATTTGTTATTGCATACACATGAGGTGATTGAAAATACCATGGCTTGGGTTAGGCATACCTTAGTCTTCAAAGTGACATCTTTCCTCCTTAATGCTTTAAAGAGGTCTTTTGCAGCAGATTTTTCCAGTGCAATATGGTATTTGATTTCTTGACTGCCATTTCCTTGGGCATTGATTGTGGATCCAAATTAAATGAAAACCTTGACAATTTCAGTGTTTTCTCCATTTATTATGGTGTTGCTTATTGGTCTAGTTGTCAAGATATTTGTTTTCTTTATGTTGAGGTGCATACTGAAGGCTGTAGTCTTTGATCTTCATTAATAAGTGCTTCAAGTCTTCTTCACTTTCAGCAAGCAAGGTTGTGTCATTTACATATCACATTCTTCCTCCAATCCTGATGCTGTGCTCTTCTTCGTATAATCCAGCTTTTTGGATTATTTATCAGCATGCAGACAGAGTAAGTATAGTGAAAGAATACAACTCTGGCTCACGCCTTTCCTTATTTTAAACAATGCAGTATCCCCTTGTTCTGTTTGAACAACTGCCTCTTGATGCATGTACAGGTTCTTCATGGGCACAGATAAATGTTCCGGAATTCCCATTCTTCACAATTTATTATGATCCCCACAGTCAAATGTCTTTACATAATCAATAAAACACAGGTAAACATCTTTTTGATATTCTTTGCTTTCAGCCAAGAACCATCTGACTTCAGCAATGATATCCTTTGTTCCACATTGTCTTTTGAATCCAGCTTGAATGTCTGTCAGTTCCCTGTCAATATACTGCTGCATCCTTTTTTGAATTATCTGCAGCAAAATTTTACTTGTGTGTGATATTAATGATATTATTCAATAATTTCAGTATTCTGTTGGATCACCTTTCTTTGGAATGGGTACAAATATGGATCTCTTCCAGGCAATTGGTCAGGTAGCTCTCTTCCAAATTTCTTGGCATAAACAAATGAATGCCTCCAATGCTGTATCTATTTGTTCAAACATCTCAGTGGGTAGTCCATCAGTTCCTGGAGCCTTGCTTTTGATCAGTTCCTTCAGTGCAGCTTTTACTTCTTCCTTCAATACCATTGGCTCTTGATCGTATGCTTCCTCCTGAAATAGGGGGCTATTGAGCAATTCATTTGATACAGTAACTCTGTATATTGCTTCCATCTTCTTTTGATGCTTCCTGCATCATTCAGTATTTTGCCCATAGAATCCATCAAGTCAATTCCGCTCATAGCAACCCTATAGAACAACATTGAACTGCCCTATAGAGTTTCTAAAGCTGTCAATCTTTATGGAAGCAGACTTCCTCACCTGTTTTCCATGGAGCACTGGTGGGTTTGAACTGTCAACCTTCTGGTTAATGGCCAAATGTCTTAACCACTGCAGCACCAGAGCTCCATTTCCAAGTCATAGTGACCCCCATTGGGTTTCCAAGGCTGTATAAATCTTTAGA